GTTAACATGGAATTGTGTATGGAAGAATTGTCAGCATCGATCAACATATCCCAATCAAAATTAAGGCAACTTGGTTGATCGCCTTAATAGCTTCTGTGCACAAAACACGGGTTGCTGTGCTTTAATGAGCAACGCTCCGCTAACATCGGGTTTCTGTTTCGCAACAGCACCTTGAACGCGGTCTCCGCGTCCATATGATGAGTTGTCATGAGGTGCTTGGCGACAGTTCATTCTAGGATCCGCTATGTTTCGTTGCGTTACCGTTTGCTCCTCACGTTTTTGCAAATGTTTAGGCACTCTCTGAGCCGACTGACTGTCACCTCTGCCTATGTAAATGTCACCGCAACTGCAGATAAACCACATGAGAAGCCATGCTAGCCGAAGTGCTGTTCCGACGGCTATGTAGAACGGGCTTGCAAGTGCGCATGAGGCGTGACTGGGCAGTCGTATAAGTGCGCGTTAGGTCGGACCTGAGTTTACGTACGATATCACTTGCAAAATAATCCCCTTTGAACGGCAGAAACAAATGAACTGCCGCTAGCACCGGTAGTTTCTTTTTATGGAGTATACTTGGATGAACGTTTCGGAATTCACACTCGACACTAAGGCTCTCTGCTGAAACTCTTATTCCGTTTCCAACATTTCCGAGCAGCAGATTCGTCTCGTTCTGTAGAGGAGCGTTTTTAATAGGACACGTTTGTATGCGATCGGTACGAAGCTGGAAAAGTGAAGGTAATGCTCACTGTAGGTGCGCTGAAGCGTACCTCCGTCCCGTCTCTTAATGAGGACATTCAAAAATGGCAGACTGCCATGTTTTTTTATCTCATGGGATACTGAATTTAAAGCAGTTAACAGCCGGGTAAAATGTTCTCTGAGGGTGAATACTAGAATGTCATCCACATACCGTTCGTACAATTTCGCTTCACCAATGCTGGCGCAAGTTACTTTTCGATCAAGGGGAGAAAAATGTCTGTCAAAACCGGTCCCAAAAGACAGCTCATGCGGACTCCGTCGATTTGCTTGCATGCCGTCCCCCCAAATGCAAAACGTACGTTTTCTTTGCACATTAGAGGCATATCCCACAAATAATCCAAAGGGAGGCCCACAGACATGTTTTGGCTTAGGATGAAATGGCACAGATCGTCAACTGTCTCCCAGAGATACGTTTGTGAGTAATGAGTCCACTCGCTCCGAGCACGGTTCGTTCGGTGCTCCTAACGGATAGTAGCAATGCCCGTAAGCATTATTGTGCAAAGGCGAACAGTTTACTACTCTCTTCAATGTGAAGTGATTCACACATTAATGCCAATTGTACCACAATGCTAGCCAAATGATGGTCGAAAAACAAAGCCGTATGTTGTGAAACAAAAACATTGCAAGACGCTCAGCTGACACACAAAGAACGTCGTAGTTGTGACTTACGGCAGCTCCAAATGGTCCGTTATCAAACGCCAACTAGCTGACATAAACATCACTCACTCGATGCTTCGCAGAAATTGGTGATCAAATATGAACGATCGCGATAGCGATTCATCTTTTCCACACAAAACTGGTTAATACATCTTTTTCCGCATAGATGATACAGGCTACACGATTCTTTTCGATGTGCACTGTCTCCCCCGCGAGTGTCCATGCACAGACAGCCTGTCAACTCATATCCACGCGGCCTAAAATGCGACCGAGGGGGTTATCGCCTTAAAAACCAAAAAAACTAAATCTGGATAGTTATTGGGCAATGGTGAGGAGGGCAATGCTTAAATGAGTTTCGCATGACGTCCGTCATTTTCGAACACAGGAATGGTTGCTGGCAGTTTTCAGTCTGACTGCATTTTCTCTATGTTGCATAAGGTGAGGAAAAGCGACTGTCCGCAGCTAAAGAATGTCTTATATTGGTGCGTTGTTCCACTCCAATTGTACCTGTCCATGTCAGTTATTACCGACGGTAGCATTCATGACGTCATTGTGGTTACATTAAGATGACCCAGCCGTGGTGAAACAGAAGGCCAGGTAGACTACTGCTCGCAGTGTTCCCTTCGTGTCCCAGAGTGGATCTTTTATACATCTTACATTATGTCCTAATCAGCAGCTTTGGGTTGCAGGCTCATGCAGATAAAAGGGTACTCAAATGTTCCGAACAACATTATCCTCTAGTAGATGGAAATTGGGTATTGCCCACCCAATTTCCATCTACTTTGAATACGGTCCCAGCGATCGCAGTGACTAAGATTCATTTCAATGTGAATCACAGTCCATAAAATTGAGATTGCGTGTCGCAATCCAATCACACAACGTGTAATCCAAACTTGACCCTCCAACATTATCCTCTGTTACATTAAACACCAACGAGGTCGATCATTTTTGAGAGTCCTAGTCAGAAATCGTTCCATAATGCCGTGGACACTGAAGCTTCGACCAATCAATCGTCAATGATCCATCCATTTTTCGATAACTTGAGTTTGGTGGGCAAATTGCGTTAAATTCCTTACTTACAGCACATTGAACGTAATACCAAGCTGCGAAGTTTCGTCCACTCCGTTTAACAGTAACGGTCGAAGTCGGTATTGGGAGATGAAATATCTACTGACAAACGTGCAAATCGGAAGTTGCACACTTCATCCAGGCCGAGAAGTTAAAAACCATACAGGAGAGTAGCATCGATGGAACTTGGATAGGTGCTGCAGGTCAACGGACAACGCTGTAGTGCTTGTACTCCATAGCATGATAAATAAGGTCCAGCAGTTTCAAAACAGAGAGTGGTCCGCGGGATTGTGGCACGAAAGTCCACACTGTTGAACTTTGCGCTTTCACATCATCACGTCGCCTTACGGCAGAAAACAGGGGTGCTGTGGTGTAATCGCTCAACAAACATATTTCATCAGAACAAATGTTAGCGAACAAGCTCGTTTTCAGTGGTTTCTTATCAAGCTAATACACCACAAATGAATGACATGAACGTAAACATCAGCCAAGGGTACAGGTTCAAAACCCAGATGGTCTGAGTGACCAAGTTAGGTGATTGGCCATACGGCGATCAACAGTGTTTGTGGCGTTGTCCACACTGTGTCCGTGCTACAGGGGACCAGGGTAGAGTTAGTGCCAGGACAAGTTTCTTGTGCGCACGTAAGTCAGGGTCATGAAACCTGATGTCTATTGCCTCGGCAGCTGCCAGTAGAGGACATCTAACCGCTCTTGTGTGGCATCTGAGTACGCAGTAGATGTGCTGGAACGCCTCATGCGCTCTGACATGCTGGCTCGCGTCAATCAGGTGTGTAGGCACTGCGCTTGCCACTGATCTAGTCACGCCGCTATACAGTCAAGTGAGTATATTGCCCATCCCAAGTTGTCTTTCTATGGAGTCCATAGAATGACAACGTGGAATGGGCAATATACTCACTTTGCCAGCTTCGTTCCGCTCGGTCAGAAACGGAAACTTGTTCGGTGCCTAACCGAGCGAGCAAGAAGCATATGTAACGAGGACATGCTTTCGGAAGAGCTAAACTTTGTACGAAGCCTATTCGATAGAAATGGCTATCCAGAGAGGTTCGTCCGGAGGAACATGGAGTTTCGAGAAACGAAGGCTAAAGTGGATTCAGTAGGAAAGAAACCGATCTACTTATTGTTACGTTCAAGGGGGACGGGATAGCTGAATCTACGTATAGAAGGCTTTCTGACGTCATCGCTCAAACGTACTATGCAGCAAGCCTACGGCTAAGCTTCTACTCAATGCCGACCCTGAATCAACAACTTAAGGACAGAATCCTAAGGTCAAGTACTCCATTCTGTTACTTATGAGTGGAAGGATTTTGGTGAGTATTTTTGTTCGTCGCAATCAGCCGACAATTCAGATATGTCGACCAACTATCCAGAAAAGCACCAGACGGTCGTTTCACCCTATTGGGGCTCATCAGTGGTGCGCATCCTTCGGTCCTCTGCGAAGGATCGAACCCATGACTGCTAGTGACTCTTGCCAACTAGCCCGCAGCTTATGCAACTGCGCCATGGAGGACGGTATCCAACCATCACGAATTGTTAGCTAAATGCGATATAGCACGACCCATCCTCCACTGCCATGCAGATGACAGCGGTTGGCCTTCCAGCGTCAGGACTTCCCGGTTACGGCAGCTATGAATCGACATAGCATTTTGTGGAATCCGCAAGGGCGAATTGGTATTACTTATGAGTGGAAGGATTTTGGTGAGTATTTTTGTTCGTCGCAATCAGCCGACAATTCAGATATGTCGACCAGCTATCCGGAAAAGCACCAGCCGGCCGTTTCGCCCTATTGGGGCACCACTGATGCGCCCAATAGGGCGAAACGGCCGTCTGGTGCTTTTCCGGATAGCTGGTCGACATATCTGAATTGTCGGCTGATTGCGACGAACAAAAATACTCCATTCTGTGTATACTCTTTCTCCTGCTCGTGTCGATCAAGATATATCGGAAGAACTACCAGGAGACTGTCCGAGAGAGCCAGGGAACACTGTCCAGCTTGGCTGTATAGCGCGTGACTAGATCAGTGGCAAACGCAGTGTCTACACACCTGATCGACTCGAGCCACCATGTCAGAGCGCATGAGGCGTTCCAGCACATCTACCGCGTACCCAGATGCCACACAAGAGCGGTTAGATGCCGTCTACTGGCAGCGGCCGAGGCAATAGCCATCAGGCTTCATGACCCTGACCTATGTGCACACAAGAAATTTGTCCAGGCACTAACTCTACCCTGCTCCCCTGTAGCACGGACACAGTGTGGACAACGCCCCAAACACAATGTTGATCGCCGTATCGCCAATCACCTAGCTTGGTCACTCAGACCATCTGGGTTTTGAACCTGTACCCTTAGCAGATGTTTACGTTTATGCCATTCATTTGTGGTGTATTAGTTTGATGAAAAACCACTGAAAACGAGCTTGTTCGCTAATATTTGTTCTGATGTCTACTCCCGGGATATTTTATCAGTTGAAACATATTTCTGACAAGTGTCAAATCATAAGGGAAGAATTTTGGACACATCTGCGTATACTTAGATTGACTATGTTGGCCGATGAAAACATGTGTGAACGTGCGACCCTTGCAAAACAATCATCTGATCAGAAAGCGTTTAGTAACAAAAAAATAGAGGTTAGGAAACAAAGCCCACAAAGTTGTTGGTCCAGTGGCTATCTTCAGCTGCGAACTGAAGAACAGCTGCTTCATTTGGCCCAATGCGAAGAAACCGGATACCCTCATGATGGAGAGGAATCATCGATGGTGAGCAGCGCGCGGGACCTCGATCACATGCTCGAGTAAGAAAGGGCTCGATTCACGATGGACCAAAGGATATCGATCGCACAAAATTGCATGGGAATCTCGTAGGTGGTACTGGTGCACTTAATGTGACAACTTATGTAGAAGGCTGAACGGAAATGAAAGAGAGTGCGTACATCAGCACGCTCCTCAAAAACTGTTTTTTGACAACCCTCAACATATATGGAGGCAGCGGACAACTACACCAGTGGCTAGGTCATTGAAAATACACCGAATGGCAAAGGGATGCAAGTACCTCGTAACAAGGAACGTGAGGTTACTCAAACGGGTTGAGACTTAAGTAAGGAAGATACGTGAGTGTGCTGCTTCTCATAATCTCGATTGCAAGCACCCAGAAGTGATGCGTGAAAAAACCAACAAGTTGGGAGTGCCGGTTTGTTCGCATCACGAGTCATCAGAAGTACCGGCAAAGGATTTCTTGAGGGTTTCAAAGGTTGCAATCATGATGGCTGAGGCAGTCGTAGTCTTCATTAACCGTGGAGTAAACCCTGGAAGATAAAAAACAACATGGGCTCTATTTACTTTTCCTGTTTACAACCAGTGTGTAATCGGAATGATGGGATAGAACGTTTACAATTGCCAAAATGAGTACGTGAAAGCAGCAGTGCCGAGAAGAAATCCGATACTTTGAAGGACACTCGGAAATCTGGGGTTTTTGTTCAACACTAAACAAGACTGCATATCGCGAATAAACTCAGGCGATTAACCACAGCGATTTGTTTAGCATCGATAGACTTTTAATGATCCAAGTAAAGCGATGGAGGAGGTTCGGTGTTGCTCCATCGAGCACTGACAACCCATGATCAGTTTCGTCTTCCTTTGCACTCCTCAGGTGTGGATCGCCCGACAGTGAGCAGTGCGCTACGCAGTACGCCAAACTGAGAAAAAGCATAGTCGTCCTTTCCAGACCGCTTTTATTCCAATTGCGCAAACAAATGCCGATGGTTGGGCAGAAAATTCGTAACAAGCGATGGACGTGGTCGCCACTAAACCGATTTGTTCCGCTTCAATTCGGCTTCCAGTGCGGTACCAACATTGGTTGCTAATCACATGTCGAGCATCCATCATCAGCACCAGCGCCATTAGTAGACTGAGTTTAACTAGAGACATGGTGCCGCACTTAATTATCTGTTAAAATTAAACAGACACTGCATGTCTGCCGACAGACAGGTTTTATGCATACTAGTTGCCTCTATGCTGCATCTGGATGAGTGAAATCTGCAATTCACCAGTCTATGACATGCCGACGAAGCGTGAAGGATCATGAGCCGTTGCATAGAGAGGTGCTTCAGGTCCAGACACATCTTCCAATCGATGTGTTTGGATTTTATTTACGCCTTATTTTGTTTCTCATTCTAATCGTTCGTACTAGCAGTGTGAAGTGAATCAAGGCAATCGAATTCAACCCACCTCGCAGCACGATCCATTCTCGATCAACCGAGCTGAATGCTGGCTAACTGTATCGCAGACAGAACTGTGTTAACACGCCTCCTCAGCACAATTCAGTGGGGAATGGACACGGTTCGTGAACACGATAACGACGGAGGAAGTTTAAGCCATGTAGGTGATATTGTGTGAAGCTATGCTGAGATTCGTTGTGAGTTAAATGCCATACAGGGAATTTACAAGCTGCAACCATAGACACAAGCGTCGGATGATAAATGTGTGATAACAATGACAAGTCAAACAAGCGCTTCGGGAGCCCGGAGAATTGGATATTCCCCAGTAGTCCTAGCAATTACCTGAAAAAAGAGCCCGAACTCCGTCCGTTGTGTACACGCGATGTAAAGATAACCAAGATGATTTCGGGTAGCGCTGACCTACAGAAAGATATAAGGGAGAAATTGGATCAAAAGTTAGTGTTGTTAAAACAGCAGGATGTAATTAACAGCTCCGTAACAAACCACAAATAAGAGCGTTCAAAAACACAGGCGCCTATGCCAAAGTCACAATGAGACTTGACACGGATGTGGTGCGACAGATTACATAACCCTTCGACCCAATGAGCTATACTGCGTGGTGTCACCAGGTCCTTTGAAACTTTCTCCCACCAGGTTGGTTAATGGGTAGAGGCCAGACAAATTCAATCTCCTCATCCTCCCGCTAGGGAGCTCGAAATAGCATGGAATCCATTTCTGTAAAACCAAACCATTGCCACCACCCCGCTGCCTTGCGGACAGGCTTTTGAGCCAGAGGTTTTGATTTAGGATCCTAATCGTCCTCCTGTCAAGGTCTGGGCGTCCTGAGAGTATCTCAGCCTACGTACAACCACATCCAGCATCGACTGTCACGCAGATAATCAACGGTCGCCTTAACTGCTGAATACAGTAGGGCGGATAAGCGAAAAGATGCTAATGCTAGCACCTCCCTTCATTCCTTTCCAACCGATTCCTTTAGTCCCCTTCAAACCCCCATTACTAACCTTCCTCATATAATTCCCAGCTTAAATGACGACAACCGCAATATCACTGGTCATACCATCTACAGCAATCTTCCAGCACCACCCACTGGATACCATTCGCTAACAGCTCCTTATAAGGCCACAAGGTCCTGTTTCTCTGGTGGCGTTTAACGTTCGCACTCTAAGACAAATAGGCCAACAGGCTGCATTTGCACGCACGTTGGACACACTGGATATCCAAGTGTACTGGGTGTCCGAGACTAGGATCAATGACCTTAGTGGGGTTGTTGAATTAACTGCACCCGGCTTATCCTCTCGTTAATGGTTGCACGCAACCGGAGACGCTGATGCAGCACTCACCGGTCAAGCTGGGGTAGGTATCATTCTCAGCTCTAAGGCTGAGTCATCGTTGGTTGATTGGATTCCGGTGAACAGCCGTTTGTGTGCAGTCCGTTTGATGACATCAAGTAAGGTTGATTCACAAAGTAGTACAAGACGCTGTTTGTTTATGGTTTCCACTTATGCCCCCACTGATTGCACCTCTGATGCGGCAAAGGCCTCCTTCTACTGCTAACTGAACACACTACTACGCAGTGCTACCAGTCCCTAAATCATAATTCTTGCAGGGGATATGAATGTACAAGTAGGTCGTCTGAGCTCTTCAGAAGCTCTACTAGGTGGTAAGAATGAACTCTGACCGCGCGGACAATGGCGAGAGTCTGTTACATCTGTGTGCAGAGCACCAGCTGTTTCCTAGTAGCACTGCATTGAGACACACTGGGCGCCGAAGTGTCACTTGGCGTCCTCCTGTAGCTGGTCAGCGATGGACCCAAATAGATCACATTGCCATAAGTTACAGGTGGCGTGGTTCCATCCTGGATTGCCGCTCGTTCTGGAGTACTTGAGTCGACTCTGATCATGCCTTGGTACGCTATCGTTTTTCCTTAAACTTTACCGGGTGGCGTACCAAGCGCGTCCGTCGATCAGGCAAGCCTATCAAAATGCATTGCGTACTGAACTTTCGCTCTCTTGTCATCATGACACTGAACTTCAGAGGAATAGGATCTCCATCGCCATGCACGATGCAGGAGTCTCTGGTTGCGGCACTATCAATCGTCACTGTAGCAGTCAGGGGACCTGTTGGGATCCAGAAGAAAATTCCCGGTTGCATTTGAGCATAATGTTATTAGGTGCGAACTAAAGTGGAGTCCTGAAACACTGAGTCCCATTCAACCAATTCATTAACGTAGTAAGAAGAGATAAGTTGCGATATGTCACCATTCCGATTGCTCTCGTCAGTCGCGACGTAATACAGGAAGAACAAAATAGGCTTTATAGGCATATCCATTCGATTCGTTCAAGGTACTATTGCGCAACAGAAAATCGAAGTTGTTGGCAAACAGCGAGGCGCTACTGATAAGGTTGAATTGTCACGCGCTCTATGTCCAGAAACAACTGAGACAATCAATTAGATTGCCTTGAATCTGATTACACCATTCACATCAATTTTGTGTGTTTATCTGTTACTATCTGGACCGTATTTAATACATATTTTGTTCTGCCTGTATTGCGTCGCGACCGACGAAAGCAATCGAAATGTTTACATATCGCAACTTATGTTTTCTTACTGCGTTAATAAAGCGGTCTGCATGCTGACATGAAAGCCGGAAGGACTAGTAGGACACAGGAAATGGAGGAAACAGAAGTATGAAAATATCATAAGCTCTTTTAGCTGATCCACACCACTGGTCCCAGTGAGACAATCAAAGACAGCGTGGGTATACTGACTCACAATAAGCAGCACCGTAGGGCTAGCTGAGCGGAGCACTTTCGAGAGCAGTTCAGTTGGCCCAATGTTCCTGGACCCGTTCCCACTAAGGTAATGCAGGGTCAGCCATGAAGGGTTAGTTTAGAGGCTCCATTGGAGATTTAGGTTCGAAACACGACCATAGCCCTTAACCGTTTTCGTGCTGCTAGTTAGAATTCCCTCGCACTATTTAGGGATGGTATTGAGGTCCTCTGCAAAGCATTGACCTTGTTCGAACAAGTTTGGAAGAAAGAGGTCATCTCGGCTAATTAGAGTGGATCGATTATAGTGGCAGTATACAAGAGCAATCGCACAGACTGTGCTAACCACAAAGGTATTAGCCTAACGCCAGTTGTGACAAAATTACTGGCATAGATTCTCGTTCGTCGCCTCACTGCGGAGCCAGAATCACGGATTACGGAAGAGTAAGCACGGCAAGGGTTTGCATAGACCACATATTCACTCTGCGGCAAACGCTGGAGTAACGCCACACGTACCGCAGGCCGATAATAGCTGTATTCCTCGACTTCAAGAGTGCGTTCGAATCAGTCGATCGATTCCTTCTGTTCGAACTACTTGGGCGGGAAGGTGTTCACACGAAATATGCGAACATTTTGCGTGCTCTATACTCGAACACTGCAGGCCGCGTCAGGGTATACAGTGATCTCTCCGACAATAAGTGGCGTTCGTCAGGGTTGTCCAATTTCCCCATTTTCGTTCATTTTCGTCGTGGAATACACCAAGGAATGTGCAAGCGTTGATGTGCTACCTGGTGGAAAGCTAGTTGATCTTCATTATTCGGACGATACTGTCTTGCTGTTTAGTGACGTCAGATCGGCCCAGCCAACAACGAATAATCTCTTTAGATTAGTATCATCATTTGGCATGCGCTTTGCACCTTCAAACTTCAACGTCCTGTTATAGGACAACTAACCATTTGATGTACTCTTGACCCTTGAAAACGAGGAACTAAGTTAGTTGATCAATCGAATTAATCCACTAATTAAAATGTCACAGTCAAGACCATGGCAACCAAACTGATTGCCTCAAGAGTTTCTGTGCATATAGCACAAGTTGACAGGCCTTAATTAACAACGCCTCACTAATTGCAAGCATTGTGGGGTTTTTATTACGTAATAACACTTTGAACGCTGTCTCAGGACTCACGTGATAACGGGTTGTCATGAGGTGCTTATTGATAGACGATGCCGAGCTCCGATTAATTCTCAGATTCGTCCCATTTTGTTGCATAACCACTTGTCCCTACCACTTTGGCAAATGTTCAGCTACCCTCTGAGCTGCTCTCTGACGGTTTATTCTGCCTATGTAAATGTCACCGCAACCGCAGGTGTACTGCTAAACAACGTGAGAGGCCGGACTACTGGACGAGATGCTCTGACGGTTATGAAGAACAAGTCCTCGCGTGGTATACCTGAGTCGCAACTGGGCTGTCGTGTAGGTTCGCGCTAGGGCGGACCGGAGTTTGCGTCCGATATCGTTTGCCCCTGGGTCCTGCTTGAATGACAAGAACAAATAAACATCCTTTTTCTCAGCCGTCAACACCACTCGGAGGTCTGCTGTGTACTTGAATAAACTTCACAGGACATCCATTACAAATTACGGTCTTGCGTAGAAATTTTGCTTCGGTTTGTAACGTTTCGGGGCTGCAAATTTCTCTAGCCCGGCAGAAGAGAGTTTTCACTAAGCTACGTTTGTATGCGATCGGGGTGAAGCTTGAAAAACGAAGGTACTGTCAAGTTCAAGTCGCTTTGCGGTGAACAGTGCGCTGCAACGTACCTTCAGCCCGTTTCTTAATGAGTATATCCAAAGACGCCAGGCAACTGAGTTGTTCCACTTCATGGGATACCGACAGATAAGGGTGTATCGAATTCAGGATGGTCAGCAGCTGGGTGGAATGTTCTCCGCTGGTGAAGAATAAAATGTCATCCACATGTCACCTGTACAATTTCGCTTCAGCAATGATGGCAGCAACTTGCCTTTCTATCAGGCCGAGGAAACTGTCGACTAAAACTGGTCCCAGAGGGCTGCCCATAGCGACCTCGTCGATCTGTTTGTATGCGGTCCCCTCAAATTCAAACCGTATGTTCTCGGTGCACAATAAAATCATATCCTTTAAATACTCCACTGGAAGGCCACCAGACATATTCGGACTCAAGATAAAATCACATGAATTATCAACCGTCTCACGCAAATGCACATTTGTGAATAAGGGGTCCAAACCTATTAAGTACATAAGGTCTGCACCCAGTGACAGTTGTTCCAGCGTCTCAGCCAGTTCAAAGGAGTCTTTCAGGCAATACGTAGCGAGGAGTTTACGCACCGCGTCTAACAGTTTAGCCAGCCACCGCGCGACTTTGTGATAAGGTGAATTGTTCATGCACATAATCGGACGTAGCGAGAATCCTGCTTTGTGAAACTTGGCAGCGCCTCTCATTCTAGGTGTCTGTGTCCCAGTCGGTTTTAAGTGCCTGTACTGCGACTCATTGATGTAACCATGTAGCAGGAGGATCTGGAGGTTCCTGGCCACATGCTTCTCCACCAAGATGCTCTTTCCCGGTGTATTTCCCGCCGAGATTCGCCAAGAACTTGTCTAGGAATAGGTTGACGATAAACCACACCAATCTGGCAAGGATCGTGTCGGCGCACATCGATACGTGCCTTGAACCAGAACGGAAATATATCGAGCCGCAGAGACGATTCGCATGCAGCGAACTCTTCACCGCAAAGCGACTTGAACTGGACAGTACCTTCATTTTTCAAGCTTCACCCCGATCGCATACAAACGTAGCTTAGTGAAAACTCTCTTCTGCCGGGCTAGAGAAATTTGCAGCCCCGAAACGTTACAAACCGAAGCAAAATTTCTACGCAAGACCGTAATTTGTAATGGATGTCCTGTGAAGTTTATTCAAGTACACAGCAGACCTCCGAGTGGTGTTGACGGCTGAGAAAAAGGATGTTTATTTGTTCTTGTCATTCAAGCAGGACCCAGGGGCAAACGATATCGGACGCAAATTCCGGTCCGCCCTAGCGCGAACCTACACGACAGCCCAGTTGCGACTCACGTATACCACGCGAGGACTTGTTCTTCATAAACGTCAGAGCATCTCGTCCAGTAGTCCGGCCTCTCACGTTGTTTAGCAGTACACCTGCGGTTGCGGTGACATTTACATAGGCAGAATAAACCGTCAGAGAGCAGCTCAGAGGGTAGCTGAACATTTGCCAAAGTGGTAGGGACAAGTGGTTATGCAACAAAATGGGACGAATCTGAGAATTAATCGGAGCTCGGCATCGTCTATCACTAAGCACCTCATGACAACCCGTTATCACGTGAGTCCTGAGACAGCGTTCAAAGTGTTATTACGTAATAAAAACCCCACAATGCTTGCAATTAGTGAGGCGTTGTTAATTAAGGCCTGTCAACCTGTGCTCCATCGCAAGGAGACTGGACCTTACCCTGGTGCGATGGTTTGTGTGCCTCAACGATCCACTGAGCTATGCTGGGTGGTGCTCTACAGCAACGATAAGCATAAGGACTGAAGTCAGTTCACGTAGTGTAACGGATAGAACTGCGTTCGTGAATCTGCGACATTAGTGGCGACAGAAAGGCGTTTCCCTCGGTCTAAAAAAGGCATCTGCAATACGCCGGTATGCAGTACCGACGCTTCGCTGCCGCGCAACCACCAATCGCGTATGAGCTAAAGTTACTGCAAGGATCGCCCGATCCCTACGCAGGCTCGAACCCGCGCCGTCGGATTACAAGGCAGGCTTGTGATCCTTAGGACTATGGGCAGCGTTTACAAGGACACGGTGAGAACTGCCCTACACTATAGGAGTGAGACTTGGCCCCTTCGGTCTGAGGACCTGCGGCGCGTTCAAGTCTCCGCGAAGCATTGCTGGTGTTGGATGGCAGCGTGTCAACAACGATGATGCTCAGGCGGTTGCTAGGCAGTGATAACAGGCTAATTCTGTAGAGCATTGAGTAGGTTGTGTTGGTTTGGAAAGTTACCCCATATGAGCGGCCACGCTCGCCGAGGTCCTTGTTTTGCTTGCCGGATGTGCGGTGGCGCAAGGGTTGAAGTGGACAAAGGTTAAGTTGGCAGCGCAATGAAGTCAGTGACTACAAAACTTTATGCTGTTGATACGTCTCACCTTCCAGGCTGGAGTCCACCCGACTCGCCTTGTGCTTGGTGATGCGTCATGTTACCGCGGCCGACTGCGAAATGTGCATGCGGGCGTACATGTGTTTGGGTGTGCATCAACTCGTGTGTGTAATTCGTTCCTTACCCTCACTGCGTTCATTGGCCCCATGCTACCTCGAACTCAGTGCATAGTGCTGTCTGCTTACTCATCAAACAGTTGTACATATACATGACTAATTGGTCTTCCATTACTCTGTACTTGTTTCTGACTTCACTCGAGTGTAACACTTTGTTCGCAATTGGCACTAATGGGGCGTGTGCTGTCGTCTCCTAGTTGGACTACCCGCTTAAAGTGCGTGTGGTTGATTATGACCCTAAAACATTGGAAACCGTCTTGCCGATTCCGCCATACTTTCGCACGATAACTAGCTGTTTATGACGGCATGTTGATGACAAGGTACAGGCGCCTTAAGGCTTTATGCTGAGTCCCGATTCCCTCCCACTTCTCTTTCTTCGTTCCATCGGTTATTGCGCTTGTACGACAGAGAAACATTAGATCAAATAGCTGATGTACTGCTGTTCATAATGATGATTGAAGACTGGTGTATATTATCCACCGTAACATATAAATCAGTGCATTGAAATAAAGCAAACTTTTGTGAAAACTGATTGAGTACTTACCGGAAACAATCGCCTCTCCCAATTCCACTTGACGGCGGGTTTTAATAACATCAAAAGGATGAGTAAGCACGCCGGCAACCTGGACGAGAAGCGGATTGACAAGCTTGAATAGTAATAGACTAACAGAACGTGTGAAACACAAACCGACTGGAACACATGCAGTGGTCGGTGAAAAATGTGAAAAAGTTACAAGAACGCGTCATCAGTCTGGATGCGCAAGAGGTTGGCCGTTATCCTAATCGCCCGTCCTGAGGGAACAACACCTCACTTGGGCTATATGAGTATGGGTATGTAACCGGAGCACAAACGAACTGAGTCTATCAAACAGCATGTAATCAGAATGTCGTGCGAGTGGTGGTGGGATACCAGGTGGATCATACATTAACCAACCAGCCCCGTCCGGACGTGAGTTATGGAAGCGGGAGCGCCTAAGGGAATGCGACAGTCTAATTTTGCATTCACACTCTTGTTCTTTTCAAATTACCGTGTGAATGAACACATTTGTCAGGAAACAACAATTCCCGGCACCACCATTTCACGTCCTTCTGCACTTCTAGCACCCTATGCTTAAAGCCTCATTAGCTACTTGCAAATCCACCGGGCTGCTTTTAACTCAGATGCTGTGTCTCAGAGTGTGGATTTAGCAGGGGTCTTTGCGCAAACATCTTGATAAACTATTCTGTTAGACAAAACGCCAAACATCTAGTGTGCATGCACAGAGGGGACACCTGTGCCCTATTTCCGCTGTACATATCGCGCGTCCAATTAGAGTGACACGATCCGATGATTACCGAATGCATAATAACCACCTCATAATGATCGTATCACCTGCAGTACTAGACGAAATAAAAATGCTGGGAGATCATGAAAGGCGTATGCACATGTCGCCGCTGAGCTTGTTTATTTTAAGAACCTATCTTCGAGATGTGATGGCAGTTGGGCGAAGCGAATGAAAATCTCATTAACGAAAATACTGGCGAGGGGCGTATGTTTTTACCGGCCATCTAGAACGTAAATAACCTTCGGTCTCTGTGGGAGTGGGCCAATCACTAGTAAAGATGAACGAGCAGGGCGTGTATACGGCAACAACTAGAGTTTATTCCAGACCAAAGAGCGAACCAAAATTGAGTTACGTTAACCTGTGTAACCTTCACTGATTACCGTTCGATCGCTCATTGGCGTCTATTCCAAAGTAACAAAGGTCTGTTGGTCGATATCGTTCCGGTGTGTTGTAGTCTGACCGTTGAACATCGCTGGGTTTAACCTTGGGCTTAGCTCGTTCGGGGCCTTCGGACAGATGAAAGGGTGACCACGATTCCCGAGCTCCATTGGCCTGCCTTCGAGAAACCGTACTCTCCTAGCACCTTCCCCCTTAGCTTGTTCGGTGTACGATCTCCGACTTGGGTTAAGCTGGAATGGAGTTATTGACTTCCGTGTTCGGTTAGATTTGCGTATGGGCTAAGGCGTGATATCTGTTGTTGGCACCAGGTTACAAGCAGTTCTGACCTTAGCAGGCCTTTTCGTTTCGAATGCCTCAAATAAAAGATCAATAATAAGATATGCATCAGCACATCTGTGACCACGACAAAACGTTCGACCGAGTTGATTAGCGTGGCGTCTCCACAGCAGCGGGACCCACTGGACGTTGTACATGACACGCTCAATACGCCTTTTAATGATGCCGACAGCCCACTTTGATAACGATAGTCTCTGACTAGCACACGACCTCCCGGTCGCAAAGTCCGTTTTTCTCGAATTACAACCGACTGTTGGCCCGAAACCGAATAGACAACACAATGTACCAGACGTAATTTCCGGTTCATCCGAGCTTCAGTGGAGGAAAAGCAGTTAGAACTTTGCAGATTTGCAGTTGTTCTGTAGTTCAGTAGGAATGTATCCAGTATTTCCGATGCGTCCTCTACCCTTGGATTGCAGTAGGTTATGCTTAAATGTTTCGGCAGATATCAAAACCTGGCCATTTGATGGTGGATGGAAAGGATGTGCTTTGATGTGAGTGATCCCGTATCTTTCTATGAAGTCAATGAACAACTGGAAGGTTGACTGCGTACCGTTGTCAGACACGATTGTCTCCGGAAATCCAACGATGGAGAGAGGTCGTACGTTCGCAATCGTTGAAGTTGGTTAAATCCATGATGAAAATTTCTATCTACTTGCTGAAATCATCTAAGGCGACAATGTGATGGCAAGGTAGATAGGTGATACATCAACGCCTGTTGGAGTGTGTTGTCTGATTGAGTTGCTGTGCGGACCATATCAAAAGTCACCGATGGCTTGTGTATGATCTTCAAAACGGTGGCCCTGACTTCAGTTTCCACAGCGACTTTTGCGGTAACTATTTCTTCTGCGCCCGAGCTGTGATCAATTTTTAGTCGTGAATGTACATCGGCTTGTCCTATATTACTAGTGGAGACGTACTTGATATGAAACTGTAATTCAGTAATACTGTGGCCCAACGTTGTAATCGGTTCGCTGTACACACTGGCATGCCTTTCTTAGAGCTAAAATGGCCAACAACGGTTTGTGGTCAGGTGCCAAGGGTAAAATATTCCCCGTAAAGCACATTATGGAATTTCCTTACGACAACAATGATAGCTAAAGCTTTTTTCTCAATCTGCCCGCAACTGTGTTTCACTGGCGTCAGAAATGGAGCGACATGAGCCATACCCTACGAAGTCACATAAGGAAATTGTGGACTATGATTGCTCCCACTCCACGATTTGACACATTAATTGTCAAAATAATCGGAAGCTTTGGATAAAATGCATAAATAGAAGACCAGATTTCAAATATATTTTGCAACCGTTTAAACACACTTTGACATTCGCTTGACCACGCCCACCTACATCATTGATACAAAGGTTCGCGCACTCTGCGTACCTCCCTATAATTCCTGATCAGTCCGAGAAATGACTTAAGCGAAGCAAAACTTGTATATGCGGACATTTTTATGAATGACTCAATGTTCTCTGGGTAGGATCGTCGGCCATCTCTGTCAATGAGGAGGAAAACTCCGGTCCGCCCTAACGCGAACCTACATGACAGCCCAGTTGCGACTCAGACATACCACGCGAGGACTTGTTCTTCATAACCGTCAGAGCATCTCGTCCGGTAGTTCGGCCTCTCACGTTGTTTAGCAGTTCACCTGCGATTGCGGCGACATTTACATAGACAGAACAAACCGTCAGAGGGTAGCTGAACAATTGTCAAAGTGGTAGGGACAAGTGGATACTCAACAAAATGGGACGAATCTGAGAATTAATCGGAGTCCGGCATCGTCTATCACTAAGCACCTCATGACAACCCGTCATCACGTGAATCTTGAGACAGCGTTCAAAGTGCTATTACGTAATAAAAACCCGATAATGCTTGCAATTAGTGAGGCGTTGTTAATTAAGGCCTGTCAACCTGTGTTCTATCGCATTGAGACTGGACCTCACCCTGGGGTGATGGTTTGTGTGCCTCAGCGATCCATGGAGCTATGCTGGGTGGTGCTTTTTCTTGCACCTTCAGAGCCACTCACACCAGATTGGTCAATGGTTAGAGGCCAGCCCCCTGGTCGTCCAGGTTGCGGTTTGGAATGAGAATGGCTCCTTATTCCTTAAAACGGACTCCATGTAGTCCAACGCCAAACCCGCTGCCTTGCGGTCAGGTTTTTGAACCAAAGGCTTTGGTTGCGTACCCTAATCGTGCTTTTGTTTAGGCCTGGGCAAGCTGACAGTATCCTGTCCACGTAATACAATGAATTTCTCTTCAAACAGTTTCCTGATGCTCTGGCCACCGCAGAGGATAATCAACGGGGCCCTATCTGCTGCATCGAGCAGGGTGGATAGGGCTTTGGATGCGACTGCTCAAGCCTTCCCATCTCCTTATTCATCCTCTTACGCTTTTTCTCTCTTACCGTCCCGTTTCAGCTTTACTTTTATCCCCCCTGTTTTCAACCCCCCAATTCTTGGCCTTCCCCCATCTTGCTTTGCTAGGTTTTTACCTTCCAATTTCAACGCACATGTGGACGCGGAACGTCATTCCTGTCCTGTCGACACGCCCATGTCCAGCCAAACGGCCAAACCTAGGTCATCGACTTCCATTTGGAGCCCTCGGTCATCCTTCAGATTGGCATGCTTCAATGTACGCACATTGCTACAAATCGGTCAAAAGGCAGTACTTGCCCGAACATTAGAGACCCTCTCGATCGATATCTGCTGCTTATCGGAGATCCGCCTGCAAGACTCGAGCTCCGTGCTCACTTTGCGATCCCCTTCAGGTGACATCAGCAGCACTTTCTCATTGAGCCTATCCGGTGACGGTGCAGCTTCGAGCACCGGCCAAGCCGGTGTTGGTATTCCCTGAGCCCTCGGGCTGAAGCTACTCTGGTTGACTGGATTCCAATCAGTAGCCGGTTGTGTGCGGTCCGATTGGCTGGCTCGTTCAAAGCTTCGAAGTCGCGCGGGACTAAGATGTCTATTCGTCATCGCTACTTATGCACCCACAAACTCTAGCGATGATTCGGTAAAGGACGACTTCTATGACAAATTAAACGAGCTCCTTCGCCACAGAAGAAGTTCGGACATTGCTGTGCTGGCTGGGGATCTGAACGCTCAAGTCGAAAAATTATCCACTTATGAACTGCATCTGGGCGGCCAACATGGTGTAGGCTCCCGTAATGATAACGGTGAGCGATTACCTCATTTATGTGAAGATGCCAGCTTATTTCTTGCGAGCACCAATTTCCGACACAGCACCCGCCGGAGAGTGACTTGGCGCCGACCAGCCTCGAACCAGCTATGGACGCAAATCGATCACATTGCGATAAGGTACCGATGGAGAGGCTGTGTCCAGAACTGTCGCTCGATTTGGAGCACAGGTGTGGATACCGACCTGCACATTTTATAATTTCGCATAGTAAATTATTATTTTTTCTGCTGCATAGTAGCCGGCAGGTAGCTTACCGGAACAATGCTCATCCGTTACCGGTAGCTCAGCTGGCTTGCACCTGTTGCATTTTATTCCCCTTTTTCTTTTAGGTATTGCGACACAGTAGCTGAGATGTTTCCCACCTCTAGCTAACGTGTATAGTGTGTGTGTATACTGGCGCCGCCCAAGAAAAATATTTATCACCGGCTTCACGATTCCGATTTCTTCCGCGTTTAAGTTCAGCATCAACTATTTGCAAAGCTGCAAATGGGACTGGTCTTTATGGCCGGAAAATTCGTTTGACATCGGGGTGCAAATGAAGCGTTGCTTTTACTTTCGAGCAGCATTTAAGCGCATTCGCAAAACCCGTACAGCATTTAGTAAACAGGGCCAAAATCTCTCCATTTATCTCAGGGTGATTTGTTACTCTCAGAATCTCGGTATGTGTTGAGGAACGTAATTTGTTGATGGGCTGGTCGGAAAGTTCCAAACGATCGAAATGGTCAATACCAAGAATGTTGGGTTCACAAGCAACTAGGTAGGGCGTACAATAATCGCTTTTTTGTCTGAAATTTTCAGCTCACAGTTAAAGTCCCCAAGCAGTTGGATCATACAGCCGGATGCATTTCTGCAATATTATTAGTCCGACAGTAGAGTGGTAAACCCAGTTTCTTCCAGGTACTTTTGGACACGATTGTTATATCGGACGCCGTTTATTGTTGCAGTTACGTACTTGCGATGACGTTTAAAATTAGGATCAGTTGTTGCAACCACGACATGGAATTTGGGCTCCGTCCTATGTGAGCGAATGCTTGACCGGCGTCTTTGGTTAGGTGTCTTGACACGTTTCGTTGTTCGGCATTGACTTTCTTTGTGGAAGTGTCGGTTGTGCATTAAGCATCTGTGCTTCTTATGGGGCAGAACCATACGAAATGCCATTCGCCACACTGTCAGTACGCGGCTGGTGGTTTCGCTACGACAGGCGCGGCTGTTCTGGTAGGTGTTCTGGAGCAAGTCTTTGTGACATTGAAAGTGGAGTTGGATGATGAACACTTCATAATGGCTGCAGGGTGCTTGAGGTTTACCAAACGCTGACACTCATGGGTTATCTGCTGTAGTGTAATATCAGGGGACAGTTCAATCTTGCTCAGTAACCTGGTCCTGATATCACTGTCAGAGTGTGACTGGAGACCGCAAATGAAAATCAGACACTTGAACTGATTTTCAGTCGCGGTAGACAGCTTGAACTGGTCGCACTCCAAATTGACTCTAGCAACATAGGTGATAAAAACTTCGCCTTCTTGTTTGGCTATTTTCATGCACTTATACCGAGTTATTCCGCCTCTTTCACCTTAGATCAATATGCATTCCGTCACCTACCATATACCTACTCATGTTTCACTTTGAAGAACTTGGCTACATCGCACAAGAGCAACATGACTTCCGATGGTGTTATACCAATCAACTGTCAGCACGGGATAGTTGAACCGAAACAGTGGATGTTGGTGTAGGAGTTGAGGTCGTCTGCACCGACTTCTCTACGGCATTCGATCGCTTGGACCATTGCAACCTTCCAGCCAAACTTGAATTAGAAGACAGAGGTAATCCCCACTTAGGGTGCAACAGCAACTTCCACTTGCACAAGCGGTTGGAAGTGAAAATACTCGAATCAGAATCAAATCACGCCGCCAATCATTTTATCTAACACCCACTGCAATTGTGTAAAGACCAATAAACCGCTAGTCCCTGATTCGTTTCACATTTGGTGTGATGCCTGCTCACACTGTTGACTGTAGGCATCCCTGGATTTTGTAACTGCACACAGGGTGTAATGTCGCAACATTCCATTTGCAGTCATAGCACTGATCAGGGCGGACAACAACCCATTTCCATCAGCTGTCATCATAGTTTACACGAGTTATCTCCATTTCCGAGAGAAGCGCAGTAGGGCCAGAAGCGATATCAACTGAAAACCACGGGGTACCCCACTTGGGGTGGCCCCACAATGCTTTGAAGAAAAACATCTGTGTAATTTACCAATAAATATACCAGTGGTTTTGAACTAAGGACAGATCGAGTAGGTGTAATACACGAGCATACTTGTCTCGAACATTTTGTACTAGTGGTTCAGCGACACGCAGTCGCGTGCTCCTGCTACAACCTGCTTCAATAACCGCATCCTTCACTCAGTCTTGCTCAGCACGCCAGCTAGACCCCCTCAGAGCATTATGGAATATCTCCGCTTCATGATTTGTTTAATGTGGGTCTTAATGATACTCCAAATACCTTCGATTGGGTTCAGTTATGGAGAATACGGTGCGAGTCACAGCACTCTTCCTGAGGTGTAAGGCTTGTCTTGGAAAATACGCTCCAGATCTATGTGACATGGTGCGTCACGACAAATCAAGAGCCAGTTGCCAGCCAAATTTATAACACTGGTATTTAGCACTAACCGCAACCACGGCGCACATCTTTCTTTGTTGTCATTGCCCTTTATGACGGAATATCTCAGCAATCCATCCGCAGTAATTGCGCTGATAAGGTGCAGATTTTATTCTCGACTGTTCGCTACCTTACACTGCACACGGCTGCCACGTACCGAACGTCCCCTAGTGCGAGTGCAGAAAAGATTGAACCTCGCCTCAATCATCCATACTGCTCACTGTCCTTCAGCCTTCAAGTTCATAAGCTTCAAGACGTACACCTTTTGCCTCTTGTTCTCCATCGTATTCGTGGATTTCGGTATTGTGTGTAACCTCTTCATGGTCATGAGCCAACCGTCTAGGTAGCGAACGATGGTGTTGACGCTCACCTTCACATCGAGCACTACCTTCAGTGGTAATCGAAGCGCTTCTAAGGTCACGGTAGGCTCTGAGGCCACCCATTCAACCAGGCAATCCGCGTGACACTGACATGGATCTTCGACGCGCCAAACCACGAGTTCTTTTGGACTCATTCAATGCTAATATTCTAATCCAACTGCGACAGTTCTTTGCGTTTACTTGTACACTGATCCTACGTTCTTCCAGTAGTTGCCTTCCTCATTTGTCTTCAGTAGAACGGCGTTCGCCTCAGCCGAATGATGGGTGAGCGCTTCTCTTCGTTCCATCGCGGACAGCATAAACTAAAGGTTATAAACTCTAGCAATGAAATTAAAGATAAACCTTGTAAGCAAACAAATCGTTTGGAAGGACTCGAGCAACGTGTACCCCATGTTGTCTACTCAAAAAACGTAAATCAGGAATCGGTACTGTCCTCAAATCGGATAGGAAGTATAGCGCATTACGCACCTGAGGAATGTGCGCTTCAAGCTCGAGTCTGTAGTGACAATGGGCAATTCGATCGGAAGAACAGATTAAGCTGGCTGCAAGTAGCAGCTAGCGTACCAGTGACATCAGAGAATTATGTAGCGCACTTTAGTACCAGTGCAGCTCACATGTGGAAACGTCACATGTTTAATGTCGAGTCAACATTGTTCATTCTGGTCATCTGTGCCTCACCTGTCCCCCCGCCTCAAAGGGACATCTCGTTTGTGAGACCGTTTTGACTCCATTCCCAACAGTCTGGATCAAGGGGCGTGAATCAGTGTTCCGGACATGTTCATTGCAACGTCTGCGTTCGTCCGGAACTGTGCTGACTTCGCCTTACCTTCATATCCTAGGCTTTAGGGTTTGGAGCCAATTCGTGAACAACTCTCGGCTTCCACTCCCTCATTGTCCAATGCAGGTGCGCACCCAGACGAGCGGATGGCTGAGTCCCTTTAGCAACCGATGGCTCTATGCCTCAACTGCGTCTAGGTTAAACAGTCATGCCAGCGTATTGTCCGAATGCTATTGGCTGATAGAGGTTGACCACTCAGGGCGTCGTGGATGTAAGTTTTGCGTTAAGGATGCGAGCTGCTGCACTAGGGATGAAATCAATTGCTATAGGTTTCGACAGGCTCGAAACCATTACCCACCATCCTTGGTCTCGACACACGTTGATGAAGAAGGGCACGCATTTGATTGGGAGAAAACAGAGATACTAGCGCAAGGAGAGACCAAAAAAGGAAGAGAATTCCATGAAGCCTGGTTTTCTACAGTCAGTTCAATAAACCAACGCATCGATTTAGATCCGATATACAGGCAGCTGCGAGAAAAGAGTTTACGTGGATCATATGTCACATGAGTCGGAAAGAGGCGGCGCCCACACTGGGAACTAGCAATGGTCACGGGACCTGAATCGAACTGAGCAGGTTCAAATGTCACTCGCTCATCGGTAAGAATCGACAAAACAAATCAGTTTGCTTATAACGCACTGAGGAAGTCACCACGACTGGTGATGAAACGTCTGCAACGAAACTGTTCAACTCGGAGAACAGAACAAAATCTGAACGTTACTAGTTTTTCGACATCCTACCAACAAAGCATGGGTATTGGATAGCGCTGGAGGAATTTGGACCGTTTTATAATAAAATGCCTATCTTCACGTTAGTCTCTTCAGTCAGATACATCCGCATGAATTAAGGTTGACTGAGGTCAGAAGCATACGTTGAGGACGACTTAATGATGATGTCCATGTCAACCGAATGAATCCGCTGGCTCCAAAAATGAGTTCAATGAGAAAAGCACTTTGTTCAACGATTGCCGGAGCCCTCAAGACTGACATATACTAGAACCTCATTGAGCAGGTGGACGTCATCTAGTCAATCGGGTGTACAATGTAGGTCACAACTCGGGGTAACCTAATTTGCCAGGCAAGACGCACATGACGGAAGTTGGTCGCTACTGATGTCCTATAGTAAAACATGAAAGACAAAGGGTGAGTCTGTATGGATTGGACTCACCAGGCCAGCAGCTGCGCCATACACAAAGGTATGGCCAAATGTAAGACCATCAAGATCTGGTCGTTTAGGTGAACAGATACAGGTTCCGGAAAGTTTTCCACTCTGGTGTCTGGACTTGAAGTAATCGAAAACGAGCCAAAATAGCATTGAATAAGGCACATCGCGCAGTAGGGTCGGTCCCATTCCCGTCCACAAACTGAAAATTCCATCCTAGAATAAATATGGAACAAATGTGGAAAATGGGACAATTTTCCAAAAAAATTGAAACGTACTCCGGTTTATGTACGCGACTTGCCAATTAACACAAAAGCCAACTGGAGCAAACCAGTTTTTCGCTGATCTACCATAAAATAGCATGAGCAAGGCGGAACCATGGAGAAATTGAACAACGGTTTTATACAGGTAAAAAAAAGCTCAACCTTGACAGTTCCTGTAGGGTGGCCACGGTGAATACTGCAAAATATAGAAAGGATGTCAGTAAAAGTGAATTTACACCAGTGGACTAATTGAAGAATAGTAATCGAAAACTGTCGATCGGCTGTACATCTATAAACAGTGACAAGAAACAAGACGTTGGTGAACACTGTGCCGTCTCGTTGTTAACACATTGATGGGGTGAAAAGGTAGAATGTACTCTGGGGGTTGACAGGAAGTGAAATCTTTTACAGACACTAGTGTTTAACCATGGGCAATAGATCATGTGAGATGCTGGAGTGAAATGAGAACACGGTCAACTGGGGTTTTGAACTCAACCAACGTAGGGGCACAGATGACAGACTCCGGTGGGGCCTTCCACGGCTCTATAAACGTGTGCGGAAAAGAAATTCCGCCGGCATTCTAAACGACTGTACTGCTCTGTCAGCTTGAGATGGTGGCTCCCAAATTATTGTTGTGATTGGGCGCTAGTAAATGGCGAGGTGTGTTTGGGATCTCTTAAAATTTGGTATACCAAAACAAGGTGCCCAAGCAATCGCCGATATTGTCCGCTGAAGACCCCGAGCATTCGGAGCTTTTTTCATACGGTAAACTATACAAACCTTTGACATTATTGGTTGCCCGGCGTTTAGATACCACTAAGGCGGCGAGATCTTCCCTCAGCCATGGCGGCCAAATCTATATTGCGCTCTCCACATGTGGCCGTATGTATGAGCGGAGAAGCTAGGGAAAAATCGACGGGCCGAATCGTCCGAATGCACGCCTCAGGAGTCCCAAGTGTTGTATGCATTCGAACCGCAGAATTCGCCCAGGCATTGCTCGGTGGAAATAATTTGTACACTGTGCCTTGCAGCACAGCATGCAATACTCTAAGGTGATCCATGGTGCAAGCGCAGTCAGTCGAGCAATAACATTTAGTGATCCTGGTGACCTGGATTTCTGGAGTGGTCGCAAACACAGACCGAGCGCATTACCAGAAGACACCGTTCGCTGGGTCGGTGACCTAAGGCTGCATTGTAATCAAAAGGTCACCAGTTCAAATTTGCGTAGGTGCGGGCAACCTAGTAGTACACTCAAACCACGTACGAGCAGTGGTGGTTGCGTGGCAGCGAAGCGTCGGTAGGGTGTGTCCCCATGTTGATGCCATTAGCTGGCTGACTGTAACAAAATACCGTTTAGTACCGAATATAAGCCAGCCCATGGATAGGCTGACAAATATAAATCTGCAATATCAAATTTGTCCAAAGTCGTAAGTCTATATTAATCGACCCCCAAAAAATCTACCGGTAAGTGCTTTCTGTCATGTTTCCCCCAAGTTTTGGTGTGATGGTGCTTAATTTTATATATTCGGATATTTTTCTGTTGATGTCATCCGTTGCGAAGGTCGAATGTGTAGAATACGGAGAATTTTCGCCACAAAGATAATGCGTATAGTTACGGGCACGCTGCCCGCCGCAGTGCTGCGTGGACACTGTACGAAAAAAATGTGACGCTTCACATCCCCATCACTAGCGGGTGGTAGTAAGGGGAGATGGGGGCAAGGGTTGTAATGAATGCTTAGGTGGATTGTACATGTGACTTTTTTCAAATTGCGCATAATCTTTGTGTAAGCCGACCTTCATCTATAGGAATTAAAAACTGTCCACAAATCATCGGCTTATATTCGGTAATATACGGTTCATGAGGTCGGCGATTCATAGGTGATTAAAAGGCGGGGCCTGACCAAATCACAATGTGCAAACTTAAGAGAAGATCCGGTTCAGTAAAAGGAGGAATTCAGTAATGCTCATTCATTGAACAGCCAAGATATAAGTTGTGTTACTCAGGTGACAGTAATCCGAGACAACTAATTTTAGGATACCCTCCACAAGCAGTGGCTATGTGCTGTCTCTTGGTACCCCAATCTAGTGGTCAGAGACCCTTTATCGCCACCATGTCAACGGTTGCGTCCATCGAATATGACTACAAAAACATACAAAAGCAGGACAAAGGTATATTCGGTAGGTGATGAGCTGCGGCACATGGCACGTGCCCAAGCAAACGCTACAAGTGCAGCCAGATAAATAACATGATCAGCAGCTACAAACACACATCAAAGCAGCCAATCGATAAGTAGATGCTACTACGAACTAGTGTAAAAAGTCCTCGTCGGTATCAGTGACTGTGGACAACCAGTTGCCCTGGGTTCTTAGACCGCAAATCCCAAAATGCACAAAAGTAGAAGAGAACGGCTTTCACTGTAATTCTGCGAATAGAGCTCATAAGACCGAGTAAGATACTCTCGTAACACCGATGTCGTGAGTCCCATGGAGTAAGTTGCAGCTCTCACAGCATGTGAACTAGATCCTACAATTGTGCAAATGCCGCTGTTAACGTGTCTGTAATTATAAGCATATTGATCAAATATCTAGTGGTCTCCGTCGTTAAGGATTTCCGAGTTAGTAACCAAGGGGTGCAAAGCGAATGCCCAAGGACGGAGCCACTCCAAACTGCCACCTAACGAACTGCTCAATGCGCATAACAATGGACCAGTTGTTCATTTTTCTCGGTGGCTGTTTGCTAATTCAAGAATTTCTTTGACCACCAATCCAGATGAGTCGGAGCAGCATTCAACTATTTCTTATCCCCTTCTTTAGACTCTCGCCAACAAGTAGCATTCCTGGTAAATCCCCCCAATGGCGCTTATGGATGTCACCGATGCTTTGAAATTGAATCCTCCGTGTGTGAACAACTTTCATGCAGCATTATTATCATCACCATCACCATCAACAACATCGTCGTACAACCACAATAACCCAAGGAATAAAGAATGTTGTAAGGAGAAGAGAAAGGGAAAATAGCGTAAAATGTAAATATCCCCAAGCAAACATTCAGGGTCAAGGCACCTAAACCTTGTCAACCACGTACCGTTACAAACAGCTGGCTATCATGCAAAGTTGAGGTGGCATAGGCGACACAGGTTCCTTGCGGTTGTCACTGCCCTGCGTCAGAGTCAGCCATTGTCCCGCAGATAATTCAGCACCAAACACACTTTAACCAGGTGGTCCTGCTAGCAGACGACAGAAGACACGCCACTGATGTAGACTGCGAGCCATGTTCTGTATAGTCTCGAGCCAAGCACAGCGGGCGTCACGTAGACTACAGCTTGGAATGCAAGACGGACTAACACCACCCAATTTGGTCGTCAGCGACTTCATTTTCAGCTGCCAAGTCACAATTTGCATACCTCGAGCCTTGAGCCACCCTATACCCAGCAAACAAGAATGTCGGAGGTGAACAAACGTGGAATAAAGTAACAAAATGTGGTGCGGTAGAGTGCGATATAGCATGTTAGGCTTCCAGCACCTCGACCGAGGGTATCAGTTCCAGAGAGTAGGTAGAGTGAGCGCAGTCGTTGAAACAATAATCCATAAGTTGTGTTGGCACAGCACTTCCCGGTTGATCAGGCCGAGGAAGATGGTGGACTTAGGAGACCAGACCCGGAGGCATGGATCATAAGGACCTGACCGGCAAGGTAGCAGGGCGATTGACGAATATCGCAAACCGTTGGGAGCCGACTACCACGGTGAGGATAATAGGGCTTTTGAGTAGGAACAAACTACTAAGGACGCCCAATGAGTCCGAATGAAGCAACACGGAGGCCAGGAGAAACTTCTTTGACCACCGAACACGCCGACAGCCAAGTGGATCATAAGCTTTCGTAGAAGCTGTTGTTCATTCCCATTCCGATGGATCCTCACTTCTGATCGCAGAAGTGAGTGGTCAGTGACGTTACAGCACGTCACATCGGCTTTGGCACAGCGCCTTACGAGCTCTTATGGTATTTAACGAGAAACCAGGTGATCAGCCCAGAACTCCTGACGCTTTACGACGCTGCCACTGATTTTCCGCAATTGCTTATACATCTCGGCTGCGAACAACCGAGATATTCATAGATACTACCGCATGGTGGCTAAGTAGGTGGTAGACAAAGTAAAAAAGAGAGTAAAATGAAACAGAATCGACACTACGATGTAATCGGTTAAGGCAGTAGTAACGGACGGACGTACCGCTTTTGCACACATAATTCGGGCCGCAAACAGCAAATGTACATAGCCTCGGCAATAGAGAAGAGCTGCTTGCGTAAGCCTTGCGCGAAGCGTTCAGGTAATGAGCATATAACTTTGAAGTCATTCACAGAGGTTGTGTGTCCAAAATCAAGGTGTGACACAATAGAGCTGTTTGAAGATCTCATCTCGCCTTTGTAGAACCAGTCCGGAATGTGTTCGCGAATCCTATGAGATAGACGCCTCGTTGTGCGACCCACTCATCGTGAACCACAGGAGCACGATTTATGATAAACGAGCATTGAACGGGCCAACCAGGGCAGTCCATACTTCAAAGGCTTTGCAAGTAATGGCTTGTTGTAATAAAGGATCCTCAAGTGAGCCGCGAAATAGGTCTTCTCAGCAGCATCTTACAAGCGTCGAGATAGAGTATCAGCAAGGAATCGCCCTTAAATGGCAAGCGCATGAACAGCTCGTTCTTTAGGAGCAATGCTCTTACGTGGCTTTCTCATTACTGATTATCGACTGGAAGCAGCAAGAAGAGATTTCTCTGAGTAGCTGCGTTGGTGTTCCTTCAGATGCTTCGCGATAAATTTGTCTGGATAACCATTTTCTTAGGGCGCCGCTTATTCACTGTAATTCTTCATTGACGGTATCCCTCGTGCAAATACTGCGCGCTCTGAAGGCGAGATATCGGACCAGACTTCTCTTGTAGTGTAACGGTACTGCGTTGTAGAAGTTCGAGTGAGCCGATTACATTGTGGTGTCCATCTTTTAGGTTATATTTTACTTTTTTGCTTTGACTACCACCTACTGATTAGCCTATAGCTATCGGTTTGACTATTCAAACAACCCAGTAATCAACTTACCAGCCCATTTTGATGCTAACAGCATCTAATCTCCACTATGTAAAAGTTTGGGTCCGATGAGATTTTCCTCGAGAAGAATCCTTAACGCACCATTCATGTGGTCCTGATTTTCTCACTAAAATGGGAATATTTGTTTTGCTGAAGATCAGCACTGCCCGTGATTTTATGAAGTCCTTCAATATCTCCAGCGGTGTGAGACAAGGTTGCCCGCTATCAGCCTTCTATTTTAACTTCCACATTGATGAAGCCATGGAGAATCAGTTAACTGGACACAATGTGCAATGCGTGGAGCTGTTCTCGGGTGATCGATCTCTTGACTTAGAGTAAGCCGAGGATAATACCTCTATCTGTCGCAGTTCCCAAACGTGAAAAACTGCAGTGAATGGATTGGCACTGGTTGTCAATCGTTTCGGGCTATGCATTGCACCGTCGAAATGCAGTCCTTCTACAAAACTGGCAGGTACCCACCGTTGGTGGTGATCAGTTAGAAGTCGGCCAGAAATACATTTACATGGGCGGCTATATCAGCTCCAGTGAAATGGAAGATGAGATCACAAAACGTATAGCAGAAGCTTAAGGAGCTTTTTCCAATCGTCGATACCGGCGCGACAACACTCCCGCCCTGAAGGGCAGAGCATACAATGCAACTGAGCGTTCCACTCTCCTTTACGGCTGCGAAACCTGGCCCATTAGATCGGCAGACGTAAAGAGGCCAGTTACGTTCTACCACCGGTGCTTTCGCGGTTTTGACTGATATCTTGTGGGAACACCGCAAGAGCAATGAATGTGTTCGACGCCTTGGCAATGGCATAGGAAGAGAAACTGAACAGCTCAGCACCGTTACTTCACGCACCAGGCTCCGATAACTGGGATACGTGTTGCGTATGCCAGCACATGGACTTCCACGACGTGCGTTGTTTGCACGACCGGATGGAAGTGGAGGGGAGGTCAAGCGATGATTTGGTCAAAAGTCCTTCACTTGAACTTGGTGTCGGGTGGTGTCTCCCAACTGCCGGACTAGGACAGAAGGACGACGAAAACACTTGGTTGGACATACTTGTTAAGACGGCATCTGTTAATGGAATCTGTGTTGTGAGTTTCTTTACCCCTCCGCCTTCCGCCTAACGTTCCCCTCCATTCACATTCTCACACCTGATGTGTAACATGATACTAAGCATCATATTACTCTTCTGGCTTTCATATTGTATTCCGTAATGTTTCATTTCCTTTGCTTTTTTCATTGCAGCACATAAACTGAAGCGTGGTTCTCATCCTCAGATAACGTGCAATGAAAATAATAATAATAATAATAATGCCTAGATGGCCGAGAAAGCATAGTGATTGGTTTAGAAGTGAATGAATGATGGAAAGCGAATACACACCGAAGAAAAAAACGGTCATATTAGTCAAAAAGCCAGGGAGTGTCAAATAGTACATGTATTAACAAAGCTGATTACTGGTTCGTGTGTCATCAGATATTAGCTAAGTGGAACACAGAAACTTACCTGACGTACTGCACCCAAAACAGATTGGATTGGTTGGGCCGGAGTCACATGAACAGCTTGCATTTTCGTTCGCAGCAACTCCAACGGTGAGATCACGGCCACGGCAAAAACTCTTGAGACACCGCCAATGACTGCAGGAATCCAATCATTGGACGTTAGCTTGATTTTCTGGTTGGGCCCAGTTGCTTCCACTGAAAATGTGGATGAGTACCCGACGTATTCCTTTAGCCAGTCGTTCAAAGTAAAGTAGACTACCGTCTGAGGAAGTGCCATGATACTGAGAGGAATGATTAGCAGAAGCAAACAGTGGCTCACAGGGTTGGTGATAATCCACTCCATAAAGAACAAACTCCTTCATTTCGCACAATTTTGTGGACGGCGTCCTGTGGGTGTAAAGAACCATACTAACATGAAATCTGTGAAAGGTGCTGAAAAGCGTCACTAATGGGGACAAAGTTCTACATAGACACAAAAGACTGGACTTGGGAAACAAAGAGATATCCAGGTAACAAAGCAACCAATTTGATATGGGCAAGTTACATGAACGTAGCTTCACTACATAGACAAAGAGATGAGCCCGGACGATGGCCTAAATTGTTAACGCTCTGATACCTGAAGCCTGTGTAAAATAAATGTCAAAAAGTCGATGCAACATGATACAGAACGCCAAACAAGAAGCTGCCATAAATATGATCTCATATCCTTCTGAAATGCAGATAAAAAACTATATGTCGAGAAGAACAAAATTTCCGCACGCTTGCACACAATGTTGCACCTCAGGCTGACTATACGATGAAGCAATTTGATAGTTTCTGCTGGAATTCGTCATTTGAGAAAGTTAAAGCAATCAGTTCCCTTTAGTAATTTGAACAATGCGGTAAAAAACAAAAGCCGGTAGATGCATGTATTTCGTATTGTCTCAGTACCATTAACATTAGCCAATAGGTAACTATATAAATAACCATAGGTATGACCAAATAAGCTTGAAATGCAAATGAATGACAAGTCCACCCCTATGTCCATGTCAGCCTTAAGCTCACGAATAATCCTTTTTGAACACTCAGAGCTGGCTTCATCCGGGTAATTGACACAGCCTGGGCGAAACGGAGGAAGTGAAGATTAGAGAGACGTAACACGATTGCGAACGCTGATCCAAACTGTATTCGGTGACGCGTGACCAGTAGGTGTCCACCTACTGAAGAAGCTGGCGGCTGGTGCGAGCACGAGGATTCAGAGGGCAGGGATCCTGGTCAATTTCTAGTTTAACCCCCCTCGTCTTTATTTGCTACGCAGAGAAGTTACCATGCTGCTTAAGTTGTAGTCATTAACCGAACTCGCAATCTGACTGTTCCTCCAACAAAGGAAGCTTAGCGGATCAGGGTCAATTCACACTGTATATACCAATTCGTGTGTGGCTGCGGATCTAGTTACATAGGCGGAACTGACCGGCCTTTGACTTCCCGAATAAAGGAGCACGTACCGAGGTGGGTTCAACGTGAAATTGACCAGCATCGCTGCCCCCTGAATCTTTGTGCCCTCGCAGGCCGCCAGCTTCTTCAATAGATAGACACCCACTGGTCACGCGTCACCGAATACAGTTTGGATCAGCGTTCACAATCGTGTTACGTCTCTCTAACCTTCACTTCCTCCGTTTCGCCCAGGCTGTGTCAATAACCCGGAGGAAGCCAGCCTTGTGTGTTCAAAAAGGATTATTCGTGAGCTTAAGAATGCCATGGACACGGGTGGACCTGTCATCCATTTGCATCTCAAGCTTGTTTGGCCACACCCATAGTTATTTATATAGTTGCATACTGGTTAATGTTAATGGTACTGAGACAATACGAAATACATGCATCTACCAGCCTTCGTCTTCTCACCACATAGTAAAAAGACTATAATTAGACAAACGAAGTGCGACGGACCAGGTGATCATCACTAGTAGTAAGATGGGATTAATAATTAACGATGGGAAGGAAAAGTGGGGGAACGATGCAAGGACAAATACGAGCCAGAAAAAAAGCGGATAGTATCAAACGGTATCGAAAGATAACGGCTAGGTGCGGGACATCGGATCGTTAACAGCATCAATGTGGACAGAAGTACGTACGTATTCATTGTTGCGTTTTGGAATATTAGGTGTGTATTCGGACAGTGACACGTAGCCACAATTTGGACAGCGACTTGATCTGAGCTATTTCGATCACTAGGGCTGTATCCAAAGTGAGGCGTTTTCGGTGATGCTAGTTTCCAACGCGGCACTTGAGTACCATTTTGTCCTTGTGTGCACTCATCACTGATCTCCATGGTTTTATGCTGGCTCTATGTCTACTTAAAAGACTGTTGAGATTACATACATACATACATACTCATCAGTTAGACGTAGCCAGAACTGGGAGTGAAACCAGAGATGGTTGGTACGTGGATCAACATTCCATTAAACTCCACCAGCTACAGTTGGAACAATGGTGATCCATTCCCAGCTCCAACTGTCCCAATATTAAAGGTGCAAAACTGGAACGAACCCGGTAGCGGACTGCAGCGTTGGGGGTGAACAACAAACACATAGGAAGTACGCCGATACGTCATACATACGATTCGATGCCACGCGGTTACCAGTAGTCGCGTGTGAGCCATAGATACTGTGGGGCCGCCCGTGCCCACGCACATTCGAACCTTTGGGTTACCGAACAGACGTTTGACTCCTTCGACCATCAGCCGATCACTCCTTCGGATGCGGTCTCAGTGATGAGACCAATCGAGGAATGCTTCAACCTAAGCCATGATCTCAATTGTGCTTACGCATCGCAATCTACAAAAAGGTCGGGTACTTCAACAGCTCATAATGAAGGATTGACGTTTGTCGCGAAGTCCAGTGACCTAGTTCTCAGAAAGGCAGTCGCTATTCACTACGTATTGCGTTGCGCTCCTAACTCTAATTATCTCTACTTGAAGAAATCGAAAAGGGCCGAAAGCTGTTGTGAGATGCAGTGTCGGCAATGAACAAGTGAAGGATATCGAGCACGTAAGTAGACAGTACTGATGCTTATCTAACATATAAGCATAATGCCCCACTAATGAGGAATAATAGGTGAATGGAAGACTTTGAAAAGGAAAAAGCATAAGTACTACGCTGACTGTCACCAGTCGCGCGCTAACTAAAGATACTGCGAGGTTACCCATGCCTATGTAGACCCGTACGGGAAACATGTGTAGTACAAGCCAGATGAATGAACCAACTAGCAACCAACCAGTCACCAGAGGAGCTGATATATCTCGCAATCGTATGTCGTTATAGGGCGCAACTAAACGTACTTACAGACAATTGCATATGAATGTTACGTACCTGTTCAATTCCACTTATCTTAAAAACCTCGAAGAAACGAAGGAAATGAAACAAAGTATAACGCTGTAGAATTTTGAACACAATGTTGAGCTAGAAGCGGTGACCTGAGGTAGATAAACGCCTACAAATCGAAAACGCCGGTGGCCTAGGTGTACCCATAACTCGAGATGGACATTGTTACGTGTCTAAGCCTCCCAGCCGCGTCAAAAGAAGACATACTAGATCAGCACATAAGCGTTCTATCCAAAATTCTTCGGTTCCGGTACAATCAGCTGCTTTAAAAGCTCACTCCCCCACTCGATCAATCGCCTGATCGCACGCACTGAGGCAAACACACGGCTTGGCTATGACAGCATGTGGTTGTCTATTTGTCCCGCGAATGCAAACGCACGTGAGGAACTGACGTTGCTCGCTCTACTATCCTAACAGGCATGACTGTAACTAAGGCTAACACCAGATTCCATGTGGAACCTGTCCCCTAAATCGGAAATTCACTTTTCTATTAGCTGTCTATGCGATTGGTGTACACAATGAGTTAGCACCGATAACCTGAGCTTTCTTTAGTGGAAGGGCCAGTAGCTTCTGGGTTCGGGAAGGGATAATAGATTTTGTAGCATAAGTTGTACCTTGGGTGAAAGAAATTAGACACATTGCGGTACCCAACGTTGAAATGTCACCCTTAAAAAGGAGAACTATGGTTATATTTTTCTTGGCCACTATGGTCAACAGGTCTCACTTGGTAATGCTCCACGATAAGCGTCCGAGAATAGGCTTTTGCCATTAACCGTGATCAACCCCAGTCTGCTGATCAAACAGCAGGTTGGACGTACTCACCTGATATGACTAAATAAAATTTGCAAGCGTCCGCTTGTACCGCACTGATATGAAACTGGATATGCAGTCGCAGGCCGGTTCATTCTACTTTTCTGCAGACCAACCTTTGATTTTTATGCGGTCGATGAAGACATCCAAGGAATGTAGGCGATCTCACTTCTGTACTTCACAGGAAACCCACAAAATGAGATTTGCAGTCTGTCGCCCTAGTGAACAAAATGAGAAACTTTACCCACCTAACATCTGTAGTACGACAGCTGAGCTACTTCTTCGGACGTACCTCGTTCTACGGGGCATGTAAATCAACCCGATACTTTTAAAAGTGAGAAAAAATTACAAATTTCAAGCGTTAGCTACTGCACTATATTTTTAGTATACTCGTGTCATGGAGATACGCCTACTTAAAGGTCACATTAGTGTATAGGTTACAGCATAGAAAAATTAGCAGCACTTCCGAACTGAATTCGAATGGCTCGCTCCACTTCACCACCGTCGAAATGTTGACTACTGAATCCTCTGAGAGGTCTGAGTATGTTGAAATCGCTTGGTCGTAAATCAGTACGTTTCGCTGCCAAACAGGAACCACTGGCCTATCATGTCTTTCAATTCAGTGCACATTTCAACTGGTCTGCGCCAGTAAGAAAGCAGAAATCTGTTTAGGAACCATGTAGCAATAACTTTCGGAAGAGAAAACGATTCTGAAGTATCGTGTTTACTGTACAAGGCGAAAGACCAAACAAATTCGCAGTCTCACGGTAATTCATGTGAGTTGTGTGAATGATTCGCTGCTTGGTGCGATGTGGGCCGAGATTAATTTCAAGGGAATTGTCGGTGACAAAAGTGCAACTGCACCCGAAGTACTTGTACTATTCAAACGTACTGATGAAACTGCATTTCATGTCACTACATTGTGACTGGTTCATCAGATTTTATGCTTTTTTGTTGTAAGTTCCACAAGTTGCTCCATACGCAGTCATGTTGCTGTTCCCCATCATGAATATAGGCCTACGGAACAGTGGTTGTGAACCAAGTGCTCCTACACCTTCAGATTGACACTGCCTCAGAGATCACAATCATATTCGAGGAAACTTGGAAGAAAATCGATGAGTTGCCTGTTCAAAGAACAACTCGGATTGCAACCAACGCTTCAGGAGGACCGATGGACTTAGCCGGTGAAATTTATTGCCCTGTAATGTTCAAAGATTG